TTGGTTTTTTATGGGTTTTTTAGCTTTACGGCACACGCTGCAGTTGTTTTATTGGCCTGTCACCCTGGCTCGAAAAGCTCTGCGTTGGCTGAAAACCTCTTTAGAGTTTAGTCGAGTTAAAGGCAAACCCGAAATTCATTCATAAAACACGGTTTAAGGCTATGATAGTAGTAATCATTGAATGTATATTTTGTGAATGAAACTACAAGATTCAAACTAGTTTAAAAAATCAGAATCTCCGGCTTGGACTACTTTGTTTTTGTGATTTCCCCGCCAGGTTCATCAATCATCAAAGACAAATCAACGCAATATGCCCCAATAACTGACCCAACAAAACTGTCGTAGCTTCTTTTTTTCCTTTTTTTTTTTTTTGTGTCACCAGATCAAAGTTGACTTGCCGAGCTCTGCCAACCCAAAATTCAATAGACGCAGTTAGTACCCCCAGCCCTCCGGGCCAGACCTTCCATCCACTGGGGTAACAACAGCAATTGCAATCGCTACCGGACACACTGAACTGAAACGAACTCCGAGCTGACCAAACAAATTGAACAAACCCCTCCCCTGCTGCCACACTATCCCCCCCGGAGCGCCCTCTGTTTCCTCAGCCCCCTCTCTATCCCCCACCCGGCTAGTGGTGCACGATTGAAAACTCAGCAAGTTTTCAAAACAATTTATATGCGCCACCGAAGAAGTCAAAGCATCAACGAGTGGTTGGCAGGGCTCCGAGTGGGTGCCTCGGTGGTTATTGTGCCGGCCGACAATTGTTTCGTCCAGATCAAAAAGCGCTGATTAAAGCAAGTCGTCGTAGGGCTTGGGAAGCGCCAATATGCACTCCAATTCTGGTTATTGTTGTCATCGCAATGGGTCTCCATGCACTCGTAGAGTATGATGGGGTATAGCTCGCTAGACACATCGACTTGAGATCTTTGAGATACTCAGTTTTGTATGAGATATGATTTCATACGAAAGTGTAGCAAGAGTACTCTGTATACCCCGATGTATCCACAAATTTTTGTTAAGATTTGGGTTAAGCGCTCCAGCAAACGACAAGTCATGCGTGGCAGCAAAAGAGGCGGCTTTGTTTGGTTTCCATAGAGACTGTTCTTCTCCAGCTGAGGCCTATGTAAGCAACGGTTCTACGATTCTATCCAAAGACCACAGAGATTAATCACTTCAACTGGTCATTATGTTATATGCATTTATGGAATTTTAATTTCATTTGTGGTTCAGTTTCATTCGCTTTCGGCTGTCGGCCTCTGCGTTGTAAGACAGCGAGTATTTGTGGCGTGAAGCTGCGTAACGCCCTAGTCCAAAGTAGTTAATATATGGGCTAGCCCGTCGTCTATATGTATACCCATCCTTTGTTAAGTGAATGCGCTTTGTTTTCGATAGCTCAAATTTATAGGCAGCGCCGTCAAAAACTAGACCATCCAATTATAAGATGAGTAATGAAATGGGGAAAAGTTCCATGAAAGAATGTTGACTACAGCTTTTTCGAAATATCAATGAACTGTTGAATTTCAGGAACTCTACCTCCGCTTAAGACTTAACACTTTTGGCCAAGATCAAACTACAAGATACTCGAAATTAGCAACAGAAACTTGTACTAAAACTAACTTCTGGGAAAAGACAAAGAGACCTAACACCGTGGCGTGTACTGGCCATCATCAGAATAGAGTCATAAGCGCAGCAGCAGCCACAATGCCGAGAAAAAGCTTCCAGTTCCAGGCTTTTGTGTTCGAGGCAGCGGCGGAAATTATTATTAATTGCTTGGAATGCCAGAGACCCCAGCCCCCGTTCGTGCCACAAGTTCTTGGCCCGGCTTGACTTCTAATGGCTTCCGTTGGCGTGGCCAGAGTTTTGCCTAGTAGCTCTTTGATACCAGTGGGCTTCCATCCATCCAATCATTTCAATGACGTAAAGAGTCACTTTTCATGGTCAAAACAGGCCCCAAGTTCTTGGCCCAAAAAATTCTGATCTGAGCATGTGAGTTGTAATTCGTTTGTTGTTTGGTTGTTGTGTTGTTGCGTTGACTTGCCGCGGATTATTTGGAGTACCGGGCGGGCGGTTCATTGGCCTTGGCTGAGACAGACTGGCAGCGTGGGTAAGCCGTTTCAACTTGCGAGCCAAGAGATCTGCGAGTTTGCCCAAGCGTGTCCAGATGGTCGTCATCTGCCAACACAACTGCAACAATTGCAGCTCCACAATTCTCCGGCTGGAGCGAGGGAATTTCGCCAGCGACTACGACAACTCCCAAGCAAACTCGACCAGCGGAAGCACTGAGCGTAAAGTTGAATGTGGAGTGCAATATACACTTGTAAATATTGCTCACTACACATATTTAAAATTCCTAAAACATGCAATAAAATAAAAATAATAGGAATGTTTCAGACCACCCACCTAAATGTTTCAGACCACATAGACCTGTGGACTTTCAATTTCAATTTTAAGAAGAACAAATTTCTTAAATCCCCATTTATTCAAAAAATTTCTTCAAATGCATTGTTTTAACTTGAAAGGTGGGTGCACCAGGTGCGGGTGTCTGGAAGCCCTGGATCCGAGTCCCCAAACAGGGAAAAAGCGTTGGGGAACAAAAGCCCTGCAACAGCAACTCTCCCATTTGCTTAATTGAGTTTGAATAGCAGAACGAAAATGCTGTAACAAAGGTAGAGGAAAACGTTGTTTTTTAGTTGCTTGGTTTGTTGCCGGCTGCCATTGTAGTGATTTTCGCCAGGCAATTGGCGGAATTTTGTGAAAACGCTTTGCCATGCAACAGCTTCTCAGCCTACAATTGAACTCTGAAGTGTGTCAACCTCCTCCGCTGGCCAACAGAAACGAGCAAAGTCGTGAGACCAAAGGCTTTGACCAGCATTGTTGACATTTGGTTTGTTTTCAAGATTATTTTCACATAACCATTTGTAAAAATTCTAAAAAAAATAATTATAAGAACTGCTCTAAACTTCTGCAGAAACTGCACATCCATCCGATGCAACGCCTTTGAATTTCTACCAGTTGTTTATTTACTTTGACGCATGCAGATTGCAACTCGGCTTCATATTGTTGCCACAAGTCATGAGGTAAATAAAATAAAAAAAATATTGAGCTCGTATTTCCGTAAACGACCCTTTTTGGTCGGGCCCTTTAAGTTCTTATTTATAGACCAGAATCGACTTCTGTCGGCTACTGTCTGCCCCGATGCGTCCCTAATTTGTTTATAGCAACTGTTGCCATCATTAGGATCTGGCGTTGACAGCTCCATGGATTGCCGCGGAGGTCTTCGCAGAGGCCACATACATGTGCGGCATCAATTTTTGTATATTGTTTGTTGTTTTTTTGAGCGCTGCCGCGTGGCTACTGGTGGCATCATGCGGCGACAGCAACAGACAACATCGGCAACAGCGACTCAAACTATTCAAACTCAGATATATGTCTGCCCTAATGATTCTGACCCTGAACGAATTTGAAGTGGTTTCGGTTGCCTGTCGCTGGAAGACATAAACACGTCCAGAGGCCCAATGCCAAGTCCCATTTTTTCCCGATGTGGTGGTTCTATAATTGCAACGAATGAGTTATATCCAGCTGTTCCTATTTCCTATGTTTCTATTTCATAGCCATCACTGTGGGCCATGTAGGGGGAAACCCCATTTACAATGGATCCCATCATGAAAAATGGACGAACAAAATTTTGTCTCAGGATTTTGATGCAGAATGGTGAAGAATCGATCTAGAAATCATTTGAGGTACTCCGCTTGAGAATCGGATGAGAATTGGGGAAGATATAGCCATCACTGTGGGCCCTATAGAGGAAAACCGCATTTATAGGGGAAAACCCCATTTTCAAGGGGTCCCATCACGAAAAATTGACAAAACATCTAAAAAAAAATTTTGTCTCAAGATTTTGATGCAGAATGGTGGCGAATCAATCTAGAAATCGTTTGAGGTACTCCGCTTGAGAATCGGATGAGAATTGGGGAAGATATAGCCATCACTGTGGCCCATATAAGGAAAACCGCATTTATAGGTGTCCCATCACGAAAAATAGACAAAAAATCTAAAAAATTTTTTGTCTCAGGCTTTTGATGCAGAATGGTGGGGGATCTAGAAATCATTTGAGGTACTCCGCTTGAGAATCGGGTGAGAATTGGGGAAGATATAGCCATCACTGTGGGCCCTATAGAGGAAAACCGCATTTATAGGGGAAAACCCCATTTTCAAGGGGTCCCATCACGAAAAATGGACAAAAAATCTAAAAAAAATTTTGTCTCAGGATTTTGATGCAGAATGGTGGCGAATCAATCTAGAAATCGTTTGAGGTACTCCGCTTGAGAATCGGATGGGAATTGGGGAAGATATAGCCATCACTGTGGGCCCTATAGAGGAAAACCGCATTTATAGGGGTCCCATCACGAAAAATAGACAAAAAATCTAAAAAATATTTTGTCTCAGGCTCTTGATGCAGAATGATGGAGAATCGATCTAGAAATCATTTGAGGTACTCCGCTTGAGAATCGGATGAGAATTGGGGAAGATATACCCATCACTGTAGGCCCTATAGAGGAAAACCGCATTTATAGGGGAAAACCCCATTTTCAAGGGGTCCCATCACGAAAAATGGACAAAAAATATGAAAAAAATTTTGTCTCAGGATTTTGATACAGAATGGTGGCGAATCAATCTAGAAATCGTTTGAGGTACTCCGCTTGAGAATCGGATGAGAATTGGGGAAGATATAGCCATCACTGTGACCCATATAGAGAAAAACCCCACTTTCAAGGGATCCCATAACGAATTTCCTATCCAGTTGTTTCTACGATTGTCTCAGACAACAGAAGCAAAGCCCCGCATTTTTTCTTTGATGGGGAGCGATTTTTGTGGGATGATGTAAAATTGGTTGACAGATGACAGCAGGCAGCTTATAAATGATCAAACACAGCGCCTTTGGGCTCTGGAGATATTATTACATTTTTTAATATATATTTTTAGGTTTTTAGGGTTAACTTTAAGGCGTTGAGAAAGAATGAGTTCCTGCACCTAATCAATTTTACGTATTTTGGATGAGAATGATAGGTTTAAAATAGAAAGAAGGTGTTATAAGCTAAGTTTACAAAAATGCACTATTCGTAAAGAATTATTTTTTAGTTTTTAAAATACTGATAATAGTTCAAGATGTTTATCGTTCCTCGAAAAGTAAATCTTCCCAACTTCCATGCGTCTCTAGACATCCACGATTGAGGTCTCAGAACCAAAGTCAACAGAACTCCAGCCCAGGGCATTGGACACCAACATATGAACCTGGCGAACGGACACTCCCGATTTCTCCAGATCCTCGACAATCGATTGGTACTCCTTCAAGCCTCGCAGATTACGCAACAATCGCCGGAACTCAACACCACGAATGAGACGCACCGAGTTGGCCAACTGTGAGTCCGAGGAATAGAGACGGAGATACATGTCCCTCAAGGCGGCACGGGGCAGGGCATCCCGAAGATCCTGAAGGAGGCCACGAATTCCCTGGCGACGGTTGGGCAGCGGACTGGTTGGAGGCTCGGATGTGTGAACATTCAGGAATACCCTCACATACTGAATGTAGACGGTGGGATCCAGCTGGAGCTTTTGGCAGATGAAGGCCAACAGGGCCTGGTGCTGCTTGGAGGACCTCAGCTTCGACACCTGCTCCTTGAAGCGATCGCTGCGCAGCAGTTTGATAAGGTTCTGCACTTGAGGATCCTCGGCAGCGTTGGCAAGGATGTTAGCCAGACGGGAGACGGGCAAAAGTGGACGAGCCACACGGATGAGGTTTGTCAGTCCACGATGAGCATCCGTTGGACAATCTTTGTTTTCCTTCACTAATAAGGGATTAGCTGGAGATGTTTCAGGAAGAAGAGTGGTAGCCTGTTCTTGGTCTACTTCCCGGACCAGTCTCAAGTTATCCGACTCTTCGTATACTGGGAGCCAGTTGATCTTGTTGGCCACCAGTACATCTTGGTCCTGGGCAGAGGGCTCCTTAAGCTCAGGAAGATCATCATAAGCAGAGGGGAAACCATGGTCAATGATCGGTGGGGTAGTGCCTCCCTCAAACTCTTCGGTGACCTCCTCCAGGGAGTACCCCAAGGCCAAGATCAGGCAACAGCTGAGAACAACGATAAGCGACCGGATCATGATGAAATCAGTGAAAGAACTGTGACTTTTTGGAGGAATGCATTTCTCATTTATAGCCCCTGCCACATATTTGCTGTTTAATAAGCCCGTGTTTGCACTGGAATTTTCGCTGGCAAATACTCAGATTCAAAGTAAAGAATCAACAAGAACGAGGCACCCAAAAAAATAATGTGGAACAACCTTGTCGGGAAGCCATCAATCTCTCAACTTGCTCCATCATCACGGACAAGCTGCATCGAAAGCAACAGCAAATAATCGTCATTTCTTGTTTTGAATTTGTTTTTAGCTTTTTATTGATGCGACAATGTCTTAAATCGATTCAAACATCAATAAAAATCATCCACACTTTGCTGCTTTGGAGAATGGGTCTTGAGCTGTTCCGACTTTTCAGTTGCTAGAGAATCCCAGTTAATCTTTTTAATAGCTGGACAAAAAACATTAACGTAATGGTTTAGCATTTTCATTGCGTTGGGAAATTACATCTTTTGTAGGATTCTATAGGGATTTTGTAGAAAGACTCTATTTATTGCCACATAATAATATTTAAAGTGAATTTACCATTTAAATTTATATACAATATACAATATACAATATCAATTTTATATTTAAAACCAAGAGTTAGTAACCTTACACTCTAAACTCGAACTAAACCACTTGAAAGTCCTCTCACGTATAAACGCGGTGAACCCCTCTTTTGGCCATAACCTTGGCCAATTCCCATCATCCGGATGGTCCTTGGTGATTTCGTTAAGCATACCGTATCAAATCCCGAAAACAAGTTAGTTGCGATATGAAATCTTTTATACCCCATAAAAATCTTCGCCAAAAACACCATCAAATGAAATTTTATGTTAATCCGAAAAGCTGAGGATAAAGTGTCTACCGTCTCAATTTGAGGCTCACTCCCCAGTGGCATGAATATTCATGAAAGTGTCTTTAGGGAGAACGGAGACAAGTGTGTATCCTTTTTCCCTTGCCCCTAGCCCTTGGAGTCCTGCCAATTCCGATACGCAAATGTTTCGCTCATTGTCAACAACAAGAAGATGAAGTGCCGGGACAAGAAATAAAAGTTTTTCGCACACAAAAAAGGGGAACCCCAAGCCTAATGAGTCCCACATGAATTCTGTGTAAATGAAATTCGGTCTGACGCTTTTACATTTTCTAGACGGAGGTGAGAAGGAGGCCAAACGCCTTGTCCCAACTTGAAAACAACAAAGGCTTAGAGAAATAAGGAAATTCAATTATGATTAAATTATGATTTAGTATCTAAGACATCGTAAATATTACATCTATTATCACTGAATTGGCGTATCCGTTTCAGCTTTTTGGGTGAAGGACCAATAAAAAATAAACCATTTCATTGTGATTTTCCATCAATTGTTTGCCCGAATGTGGGACTATCTACTTTTGGAAGGCAGAAATATTGTTTCCATTTTGTCAGTTGCTTTTATATTTATAGCTTGAAACGAAAAATCCATTATTATATTGCCGCTTTCGCAGGTCTCCCTGCCACCGACTAACCCTTGCCATCATAATTCTTATGTGGCAGACAGAAAAGTTTTGGTAGCACCTTCAGAGGTGGAAAATGCCGAGTGCCAAGCCCCAAAGGCTGTCCGACTGGTGCGGGGCACATAAAAAAGCATTAGAGAACTTACCGGTGAACTTATGTACTACTATGTGTGTGGCCATCGGCACCCCCAGCCGGTGCGCCGCGGTGTAGGAATATGAACAGTCACGCAACGGCCAGGGGGCAAGTAGTAGGTGTGGCGGGGCGTGACCGGGCCAACGCCCAAAAGCAACTATTTTTGGGGATCCTGGCGAACCGACATTCGGACAGCAGACGTAAAGGATTATCCTCCCCCGGGCCCCGACAGCTGGATAAATATTTAACGCGCCACGCCTATACTTTTGCACCCCTAATTGATTTAAAAATGTAATTTAATCTGCATTTCATTTTCGGACTGAAATTGCATTTGGCTTCTGCCTGACATCCCCCCATCTGAAATTGGGACACATGGACGTGAGTTGCATTTGATTGCCTTGTCATTCTAATCCAATAAAGCCGCAGCCGGCCCCTTTATCAAACGAATCAACATCGAATGGCATCATTATCAAAACATGAACAAGAGCACAGAGTTCGCAATCAATATGCAAATAATTTTGTTGCCATAACTGACTAATATCTGTTGATGTTGACAATTAGAACGTGTGCGAATTCAGACACAAATGTTAATAACCCCAAACACAAGGGAGGGAACACAATTGGCATATGCAGGCCATCAGCGGTGAAAATATTTACCACCAATTTTGGGATCGCTAACCGCACTCATGCAATTTCGAAATTAAAAGCTTTTAGCAATTTTAAACTTTTATAAAAGATGATAGAATAATATAATAGCCTTCAAAAATAAATTCAAATGGATTATAAATATATTTTAAAAAGTTAATAATATAAACGGTAATATCATATTTTTTAAAGAGATCTCCTTTAAAGTTTAAACTAAAAATAACTCGCAACTCGTTATTATCACATGAACTCTAATTAAACTTTTTATTTGATCCTTTCGCAACATGAAACCAGTCTAGTAAAAACATTTTAGGTTTTCCTTAAAATGTATATTTTAATAATTACAATTATATTAATTTAAATAAAACAGTTATTCCAAAAAAATTAAATTATATATTTTTTTTTTAAAAATTTGTGTATTACAAATTAAAAAAAAGTTTTTTACATTAAAAAGATTTTACTTTTGGGGGAAAAAAGCAGGGCATAGTTTTTTATCGAACTAAGAAAAAAATTCATACAAATTTAAAGTTCATGAAATAACGAGGTTTAGAAGTTACAAAAATTCAAATTTAAATATTAATCGAAATGAAAAATAAATCGATTGTTCAATTTTTTTACTTCAGTATTAGGTAGGGACCACTTTTAGAGGCAACTCTATTGATCAGCTGATGATAAGACGACGTTTTACAACACTTTTATTTTTAGTGTTGTAAATTACTCACGAAAATTATACGAGAGGCAAAGCAAAAATTTGCTCGAATTTTTATCTCAAGATTAAGATGTAAAATCGAGTGAAAAAACACTAATCAGCCACAATGCATGCGATGCGAACTAAATGTAAGTGTTGGCCAAGTGGAATATGCCTTAAAAGTGCGTGTGAACAATGAAATATTTCACCTGAGACTGCTGTGGGCTTCCTAAGGTGGGGGAGGAGGAAAAATCAATAAAATTGTCGTGGAAGCGCGATTGACACGAGCAAAACAAAACAAAAGATGAAAGAGAGGGCAGAGTGAAACCCCAAAGAACCACTACAGCCGTTAGCTGCCCCAAATGCGTTGGCTTCATAACGCAAGACACCCAAACATGTTGCTCCAGTGGGTGGGGAGTGGGGGTAAACAAACGCAATAGGTAAACTCCTAACAGCTGTCTCGCTTATCGACGCAACAAACATAAATAAATATTTGTTGTCGCCCACTCGCTCGATCACTTCCCGCATAAGGCACTTGCTGAGGCAACGATCGCACGTTCATTCACTCCCCGAAAGTAAATATACCCGAGGCGGCGCATACAACGATACAATAAATGGCAGTTTTGTGTGATTCACCTCCAGCGGTCGCTAATTAAATCGGTGGCGAGTACTACGACGGGAATAGAATAGCAGTGAAAACAACCAAATAACACTTACTGCACTGTGCGATGATGTGATCCCGACCAGCTTAGACAACTCAATTGATGGGTCACCAGCTGAATGTTGTTTGTGTGCAAATTAGGCCAATCAAGTAACAGAAAATGGGGATCCCAGCTTCAAAAGCAACTGTTAACCGTTCTGTGTTTAAATTTTATTAATTTGTTGTTCGCTTTGGGGTCAAGTTAGCTGTGATCCACTGTAGCATATAAATATTGATATTTGGCACCGATTGGAAAGGAAATTCCTAAGCCACATGCATTATATGAGACTCAAAGGGAATTTCTGACAACTGATATCAACAGGTTTTTAATGGAATCGAGTTCCCACTTGGAGACAGTGAAGCCTGGCTACAGTGCCACTGTTCTAAGCTTTTTTTCTGATTCAGCGAGACTGATAAACAATAACCCTGTAACTACTTTAAGGTCAATGAATAATGTAATTCCGATAGCTTTAGACTAATTTGTTATTTAAAGCTCAAAAGAAATAAGAGATAATGTCTGTACATTCCTTAGTATTAAGGTTATTTAAATATTAAGAATATTAAATCTTAATATTTTGTATACATTGCTTTAATCTTCTAGTTTAAACGGAACGCATCTAAAATACCCCAGACATGAATGTAATGCGCAAGCTGCGCGGCGTTGCCAGCGCAGGAAGCGCCAGTGGCAGCAGTAGTGGCGACAACACGGCAGCCAACGGATCTCCCCGGGCCGCCGCGGAGTCCAATGCCCCAGCCTCCGCCAACGGGCGTGCTGGGGAGGAGACTTTGTTGGATGCCCGCATCCAAATCAGCCTGAGCACTTTAAAGAAACTCTTTAACGAGTATACTCATCCAAGGGAACCCCTGAGCGAGCAGGAACGCGACAACAAGCTCTACGACATGCTGCCCCTATTTTGCAAGGTCTTCGGCAGTTGCCCGGCCAACGAAATGAGCGAGAAGTTCTGGGACGTAGTGGCCTTCTGCCAGCAAGTGTCCCGCCTAATGGTCAGCGAGATCCGCAAGCGGGCTTCCAATCAGAGCACCGAGGCTGCGTCCATCGCCATTGTCAAGTTTCTGGAGGTGGAGACCACTGAGGAAACCAGCAGCGGATGGATGCTTCTCGCCACCCTGAACCTGCTGGCCAATGGAGATGTATCTCTGATTCAAGTAAGTCTGTAAACTCTGTTTAGGGCCACTTAGTGATGTATCTTCTCTTTCAGGTAATGACTGCCGCTGCAGTGCCATCGACGCTGGTAAAGTGCTTGTATCTATTTTTTGATCTGCCCATCGTGGAAGACGATGTCCCAGCCGCGGATGGCGGAATCTTAAG